TCTGCATTGCTTACTCCCACATGGAACCCCCCTCACATGCTTATAACGAGTAGGTGCCACAATAACATCAATATCATAAGAAATAAAACTACAAACCTCGGAGGCGGCTGGCCGCGGGTAGTGTGACTAGACCGATGATGAGCTGGCTGCTCGACAGGGTATGTGGAGATCAAAGGAGGGATATTCAAACTCGAGGACTCAGCGTTCGAAGAATAGCTTGAGGATGAAGCAGATGAGGAAAAGCCAGCCAATGTCGAGGATGAACACGGCGAGAGGGTTCAAGAGTTGGAGGCAGATAAGCTGGTGGAGAGGGAGGGTCTTCCAAGGGAGGTAGAGGTAAACCAAAATCATCATCCTCATCATTAAACATACATAAGGCTCGTTGGCTTTATATTTTAGGCTTTGGGACTTAGTATAAGATGAGGGTTTTGGACTTGTAAAGGCTTCTGGAATCACATAAGATCAATAGTATCTCCATTTTACGGTGAACTGCGATCAATCCCATGATCATAAACTATGGTAGTTTAGCCTCAAACGGGATAAGAGGAGCGGCCATGTTTGCACTCCCTCAATGTCAAGCTAAACACGCCACGTTGTTTGGGGGCGGAAACTATGTTTATCCATACTTTTTTTAGTAATAATAGATCAATTTTAAGAGGTTCCATGCTTGTAATTTGTCACTTTTGCTTGCTTACCTTGATCATTCATGCATGGCATGTCGAGACCTCACGTATGCATGATATTGTATTAATTCCCCAATGCATGACATGTAGAGACCTCATGAATGCATTGGTAAATTGAGGACAGTACATAATTGTTATAGGTATGACGAGACCTCATGCCTAGACAATCACTGGATCACGAAGCACGATACTACTCGAATTCTTCTACCAAGCATGTCATTAGTGATAAAAGAGCCTTATAACTATCTTGTGTATGACGAGACCTCATGCACAAGATAGGCTTTGCAGATGGATTATACTAGGAAACTAGTCTAGAACAACCTTGTGTCCTACCTTTCAACCACTTTAAGCTCCTGATATTTTTTTTCTGCATAGTATAAGTACACAAAACTCGAGCCATCATAGTCCATTTGAAAAATCTCATAATCTAGATTACAGAAGTCGTTGGAGGTAGGGGTGTACATGGGTCGGGTGGTCCGGGTTTAGACATTTTAATCACCCGACCCATGCACTACGGTTTGGGAAATATTAAACCCAAACCCACCCAAAAAATCTAAACCCTACGGTTTGTTTCTAATTGGGTTGGGTCGGGTTGACGATATTTTTAAGTAAAAACCCAACCCAACGCAAAATATGTAATTATTCTACACCATAAAATATTTTATAACTAATTAAAAATTCAAACGAATAAACCGAGGTGAAAAGTATCAAAATTCACAAATGTTGTTTGAATTTTAATAAAATTTGATTTACTTCAACTTATGTCTAGTTTTTTCATGACATTTGTTAAAATAGGCTAAAAAGGTTACAAATGAGTGCATCCATAATATGTTATTCTATTAAAATTGTACACAAGAAAAAGAATTATGTGAATCATAGCTATATTAAATTTATGTCTAAATTTAAGGCGGACCTTAAGAGAAAAACATGGCGAAATATCTTAATTTTCTCATAAGTATGGCTATATATGACATAAATATTTTTTTGGATTTGAACTCATACCAATAATTGGAACACGGGTTGGGTCGGGTTCTACGGGTTGTGTAATCCAAAATCCAAACCCAACCCAAAAGAGGCGGGTTGTACAAAAGAAAATCCTCACCCAACCCTAAACCTTCGTTTTAGCGATAAATAATAGGGCTGGGAATCTAGACCAAACCATATGGGAAACCGCGGTCTAGACCGTATCGTATGGTTTGGTCTGGACCGTGAGACCAGAACTATGGTCTGGTCTGGTTTGCGGTCTCCTCCTTTAGTGCGTGGTCTGAAGTGGTCTGGACCGCGGTCTACCGTAGTAAACCGTAACAGACCGCGCACACTACCTACTACCTTGGACAAAAATAACACTAAATTGAACCTCCATATGTGTATTTGAAGAACAAAGTTAGTTGATTCTTCATCTAGTTGAGAGCCAACAATTTTGCAAAATGATCGCTTATATGTTATCTCCTTATCAAAGTACCACACAAAAATTAGAAAGACTCATAAATAATATTCACAGATAATGTCTAGACTATGGAGTCGATAAAAATTAAACACTACAAAAAAATTCGTTCACCTTGATGAGATAAGGAAAATTATTGAGAGATATGCGACCATCTTAGTGGTTCGAAATTACCTCGACGTCATCAAAAAGGTTATCAACTGGGAGAACCTTCAGATCACTCGAGAGAGGAGAGAAGCGGTAGCACAAAGAGGAATAGGGAAATAAGGCTATTTGAAAATTGAAAAAACCCACTTCTATCCTCATATTTCTTCTCATTTAATACGATCACAATTTTTTTGTTTCACTAGCATATTGGTCACTAGATTTTTTTTATAGATACCGGTGAAGGATTGGAGGGCGAACAAGAGTTAATTTTTTTTAACATGGTCTGTCTGGTCCAGACCATACCGGACCGCACCGCACAGGTGTGGTCTGGTCTGGACCGTATAGTATATGGTCTGGTCCATGGTCTGTGTTCCAACCTCTCGGTCTGGACCACAGACCGTATCTATGGTTTGCTATGGACCGGACCGCACCGTTTCCCACCCCTGTAAATAAGGGTGGGTTGGGTCGGATTGGACGGTTGGGTCGGTTTGCGGGTGTGTTTGTTCACCCCTAGTTGGAGGCCCTGTGAAATACAACTCTATACATTTTTTGTGAAAGACTAAACTTTTTCTGTGAAAGAGATTTTAAACATTTTTTAGATTAATAATTAATTTTGCAACATGCTATGATGGCCCACATAAAAAAGGGAAAAGGGAGTAAAGAAGGAATTAGAAAAGGGAAAAGAGAGCCAAATGGAAACAATGAAAATAAATATACGAGAATACATTATCAATAATCACTTGTCATCCATAATTTGGTCCATCTTGACAAATTCAACATATTTGTGTGAGTTTTCTCATTCACGAGTCCTACGAATTTGAAAAGAAATTCATAATTCATGGCCCACTAATTTTATTCCCACTAGCACTCCTAAAAGTTAGTTATCTGCAAAATATCTAATAATATTACTCTAAAATGGTGAAGTGGTAACATAGGAAGAATGTGCCATTAAGATAGATTTTGATATATAGTGTTGATTGAGATTTCCTAAACTGTGCTTTGCTTGTAATGGGGTTTCCTTGAAAGTTTGTGAATTAGATAAAGGGATGTCTCGAGTCGGCTAGTTTTACTGTGTATGTATGAATGGTGGTTTAGTAGGAAATATTCAAGTATGGAAGTTCTAAGTTGCATGCTGAATAGGGCAGTACAAAGGCTGTACTTCCTTATCATCCCAGTGTGGTAGAATAGGACTCACTCACTTGCCGACGATTTGTTAATCTTCACTAAGGGTTCCGTAGAGGCTATGACAGTGCTGGCAGAGATACTATAGAATTTTATCTTCTCTTATGGCTAAATTGCAACCCTAGTAAAAGCGAGATCTATAGTGCAGGTGTTTCAGATGGGTTGAAGGAAGACTTGGTCAGGAATTCAGGTTTTAGGGAGGGAGCCCTACCTGTCAGATATCTTGGTCTTCGCTTGACTACGGGGAAGCTTTCCTCAAAGGACTGTAAGTCGTTAATAGGGATGATTTCAGACAGGATACAAGGTTCAGAACCGAAACTCCTAACTTATGCAAGGAAGCTAGAGCTAGTGATAGTTGTACTTGTTAGAATGACACAGTTTTGGATGAATGTCATCCTACTCCCAAAGAAGGTAATAAAAGAAATTGGGCAACTCTGCTCTCAATTCCTATGGGGTGATTTAGAGAAGAAAAATAGGGTTAAGATCTCCTGGAAGACTGTTGCCCTTCCTTCGTGAAGAAAGAGGCCTAGGGTTCACAGATCTCTACTCTTGGAATAAATTATGTCTAGCTAGGCACATCTGAGGGGTGTTTTCAGATCAAGAGTCACTCTGGATAGCATGGCTGGCGGAGTAAAGACTAAGTAATCTTAGTATATGGGAAGTACAAAGCGGGGGTTTGTGGATATGAAATAATATTCTCAAGCTGAAAGGATTGTTTTAAAATAAATTACAACTAACAGTCCAGGAAGTAGAGTGGGAAGGAGCACAGATGAGCCGATTCAATACAAGTAAAGTTTGGCAAAGCATCAGACCTAGGGAGAAAGTGGTAGCGTGGGCAAAGCGGGTCTAGAAAAAGGGCATTCCTAAGAATTTGTCACTCACTTGCCTATACTTATTGGCCAGATTACCACCTTAGATATGGTGAAAAAATGGTGCCCTAAAGTGAATAAGATATGTCCTCAATGTGGTACAATAGAGAAAACAAGAGAGATCTGTTTTTCTCGTGTGATTTTGTGCAGGAAATCTGGAGGAAAGTTTACCCAGTAAGCTGAAATTTCCCTCTACAAAGTAATCTGCAACTGGGGTAAAGGCAACAACACGAAGACTGGGAAAATGCGTAGTGGGGAGAGTGGCTATAATACTGCCACAATATTTCTCTTAACTTATCTAGCTATAATACTGCCACAATATGGCTTGCTGGCTGCACTTGGAACTCATCAATATGTCTTTCCAAATGATCCAAAATAATCCACATAGTATTCTAGCAAAACTATTTATAGGTGTAAACACTAGACGTGATCTTTGGCAGTACTCAAGGTGATCAATTAGATTAGCCTACTTAATTTCCTAACACTACTTTCACGTGCGGAAATACTACACAGCTAGGCCTCCTTTGTTACCCCCACTATGTTATATATCTTCTTGTTCAGCAGCATCAGCATAATCAATCGTACGCAACTGTAAAACAACTAAACAAATGCAAAGAAAGAAAGCTCTTTCTTCTTCTCCATCCTAGTATATAATGGCAACCATAAATTAAATGGCAATCAGCATCTCGCAAGAAATTAAGTAAAAACACACTAGCTAGCGAGTAGTATCTAAAATGGCGACTAGCATTCTAGAAAAGCTTGCTGTGGCAACTTTCGCTGTAGCCCTAACTATGGGCATGATCAGTTTCGCCGCCGCGTTCAACGCGGGAGCCTACAACTGCGTGGACGTGACCGTGCTACCGGATTCCGATCTGTACAAGGCCAGGCATAGCGTCCTCGACGACATGGTCGGCAGCACCGCACCCGAAAGCAACGGTTACTACTGCACCACCTCAACCGTCGGGGGCTCAGTCGCGTTCGGCCACGCTACTTGCGACCCAAGTAAACTGTCGGAATGCAACGACTGCCTCAAATATGCTCGAGAGTTCTTGGACCACATCTGCAAGTACTCCATCGGCGGCCAGGTTGTGGTCGGAGATCTTCTCGACTGCTCCATGCATTTTGATGCTCGTCCCATCTCCGAATGTGCTACCTAGAATGATCCTGTTGCAAAAGTGAAAGTGCTTGGGTTTTGGTCGGATTTTCAGAGTAGTTGAGTTTCCGCTGGGTGTGTAACTAACTGTAAACCGACACAACTGGGCAGGTGGATGATGAATAAGTGAAAGTGTTCAAAAGAGCCGGGGGCCTGCTTTTTAAGCCCGCGACTATTTTAGCGAAAAATAGCCCGAATTCTCAAATGACAGCATGAAATATATAACATTTTAAATATACCTTATTAGTCAAACAGTTTTTCATATTTTTGAAATATTAGTTAAACCTATAGAACTAAAAATAATTAGTCGAACGTTGACTTTTCTTTAACAATTAATGGTAATAATGTTGATTAAGGATATCCAAGTGTAAAACCGTGCAGGCTTGGACTAAAGCGGACAATATCGTACTAATGGAGCACTTGTCGAAACCGGAGAGCTTAATTAGTACGATATTGTCCGCTTTGGGCCAAGCCCGCATAGTTTTACTCTTGAGAGTCCTTCACTTGTATTACCGATGTGGTACTTGGATTGTCCCATAATAAATCAGACGAAGACTTCTAGCAAATTCTGGACCTTTTTGTTTCTCCAAACTTATTTAGGAGTTTTTTTTTTCCAGAAATACCACTGTTTAAAAAAATTCCAAAAATATCATCCAACCCGGAATAATTCCAAAAATACGAGGTACTCCACCTCCACAGCATGAGGAACGTTTTGTCTCGATCCAACGTGTCCCGATCTGTCGGTCGTAGCGGATAGAAGTGGTCGAAATGGCAAACTAGAGGTATTTTTTCTACCACACTTCCAAAAAAATTAGCCAAACCCACCTCTTGGTCTCTTTTCATTGAGGTTTTCAAAAGCGTTCCAGACACCTTTGTCTGGTTTCTGTTATCCGTGGTGTGCCCTGTTAGACATCTATTGACGTTCCACTACACCCACTCTGATGGCTTCAACTGTCACTCTTTCCCTCTCCGAAGGAAGCGCCTCAACAGATGCAATTCGCTTCCGTCAAATACTTGGGACCCTCCAATACCTGCTATATACTCGGCCTAATATAGCTTTCTCCGTCAACAAACTATCATAGTTCATGAATGCCCCTACCACTTTTTATTGGCAATGTGTTAAGCTTTGCTTCAGTATGTTGTTGGTACTCTTGATCATGGTCTTGTCATTCGTCGTTCGCCCCAGCAGCTCGTGCTCTCTGTCTTTGCCGATTCTGATTGGGCTAGTAACTTAGCTTGGATGATAGGTATTCCACTTCAGCATATGATAACGATGTAATTGCACGTATTTGCACCCCTAGTTCTTATCCGTTTGAGGGGCATAGTCGTGTATTTTTGGCCTATTTTACGCCGGGTTGTGCTACTTTTTCATATTTCAGGTCCCAGGCGTCAAAGGAAAGGCTAAGCACGAGTTTTGGGGCATTCGGAAGTCATTCGGTCGAGCTGGAGCCAAAACACGGGCACGCCTAAATCAGAACACGGCCGTGTTCCTAGACCGTGCTTTTACTGCCGAGACTTGATCTGAGTTTGGCAAACACTAGCTCAAAACACGGGCAGGACTTAGACAGAACACGGCCGTGCCCTCGACCGTGTTTTGCCCAGTGATGCCCTTTTAGGAAGATTTCAGCCAAAACAGAAGGGGATTCGAGTTTTAGAGAGACAGAGCGATTTCTAGAGAGAGAAAGCGACGAACAAAAGTTCCCAAGTGCCCTAGCTTGATCTTCATCACCATTGGAGCTTGGCTTGAGCTTGGAGAAGTGCCGATCAACGTCCAGGAGCAGAAATCCATCCTTCACAGTATGATTTCCGCGTCTGATTCTGCTTTTGCTTCTTTCTCCATGGAGTAGTTCTCCCATTCATCTGGGTATGGGAAACTCTAGATTTGTATGTTAGGTTTGATTGTATGAACCCAAGTACTGCTTCTATGATTTGATTATATTCAATTGAGGTTTGAATGATTGAATGGCATGAATCCTGATCAAATTCCTGTTGTTTCTGCTTTAACCTAGAATGAGAATATCTGCCTAGGTTGATAGAGCATCCTTGATTGAAGGTAGGGAATTGGTGACTTTAGTCGAGGAGCCAACTCACTATTCTGTACCGAATTCACTTCGGTAGTGGAGGTTTTGTTTGTTAGGACCTCAATCTGTTTACTCCAGTGGAGGTTAGTCGCCCGCTAGAGACTCAGATTGAGAGGGTCTGGAGACCTTTAGTCGAGACTTCAGGGTGACCTCTCTTAACCTGAAAACAACCATTTACTTGCTTTGTTTGTTTGTTAGTTTAGACCTGCACTAAAGTTTCATTGCTAGATAACAAGAATTCACTGAGTAGTTATCAAATCTAGGACCCGGGTTGACATTAAAACCCAAACCCGCTATACTACACTTTAGGAAGTGGTTACACTTGGCCAATTTCTAGAGTGACAGTAGGAGTGAGTCAAGTTTTTGGCGCCGTTGCCGGGGAGCGGCTAGGTTGTTGAAGAAAAGTGATTTCTGTTAATTTAGCTTTTCTTTTCGCATTGTTTGCTTTGTCCCACTTGTGCCTTCACGGGTTTGCTTGCTTGAGTGTGTGCAGGTAGTGCATGATCCGTAGCCAGTCGGGAAGTTTACTGCCATTGAATCCAGAGATTGACCGCACCTATCGCCAACTCAGGAGACAACAGCGAGCTAGACTGGCTACGGAAGAGCGCATAGACGGCCACCTGAGCAGCGATTCTGAGGAAGAGTATGGGATGGACGGAGATAACAATCCACACCAGGGGAATCCTCAGCAGGCTCCCCCGGTGAATCAGGTCATGGGGAACAACCCCATACCCCAGGCAGATGGGGTTCATCATCATCCACGGCCGCCGGGTCCCACCTTGGAGTACTACTACACTCCACGGATTGCCGACATCCGCCCGGTCATCCTCTACCCACCTATTCCAGCGAACAACTTCGAGATCAAGCCATGCTGGATTCAGCTCATTACATCCTCTATCCAGTTCCATGGCTTGAAGAATGAGGGGGCCAGGGTACATCTTTCCCGTTTTCTGCAGCTGACGAACGGGTTCAAACTCAACGGTGTCCCCGATGATGCAATCCGCCTTCACCTTTTCCCCCATTCTCTGGCGGGGAATGCTAAGAGGTGGTTGGAGACCCAGCCCCCATTGTCCATCACCTCTTGGGACGATCTGGCTGACAAATTCATGCACAGGTACTATCCGGCATCAAAGACTACAGAGATCCAGCGGAAGATCACTCACTTCCGCCAAGAGCCAGATGAGTCACTTCGTGATGCTTGGGAGCGGTTCATGGGATATTTCTGGCAGTGTCCCATCATGGCTTCAATGATGCATTCACAGTGGGGAACTTCTACAGTGCTCTTTCTCCGAACAGCCAGAGGGTGATTGAGTCTCTATGCCCAGGAGGGGATATTCTTACTAAGACTCCACCAGAACTGAACCAGATGATCAGTACCCTGGCTTCCAGAGATCATTCCTGGGGGCAGAGCAGCAGAGGAAGACATTCTCGGGACCGTGGTGTGCACGCCATGGAGACTAGATCCGGGCTCGAGCAGCAGGTAGCTGAGTTAGTGCAGACATTGAAGCAGCCCAACAGTCTTATTCCGGGCAGAGGTTTGGCTACACCTCCAGTAGCTCAATGTCAGTGGTGTGAGAGCTCAAATCACTTAGTGGAAGACTGCCAGGCTATGAGGGAGTCTACTACTCCCCAAGAGCAGTTGGACTTCATCGCCAATGCTCGGCGCCTCGACCCGTACAGCAATACATATAATGAGGGGTGGCGCCAGCATCCCAATTTCGCTTGGAGCAGCAACACCACTAAACCAGCTGGTTTCCCAGCACCAGCTGGTGGCTTTCAGCAGAGATATCCCTTCCAGGCTCCACAGGGACCAGCCCCACAGCAGCAGCCCTACCAGCCTAGGCAGGGGCAACCATTCCAGCAGCCCCAGCGTTAGTATGCCGAGCTAGCAGCAGCTCCTGCCCCAGATAATCAGATGACAAAGCTGGAAAATATTCTAGCTTCATTCATGACTGCCACTCAGGAAACTGTCACGAGGTTGGACCAGAGCATAACCTCACTGGAGGCAGGTCAGAGGAACCAATGTGCCATTTTGCAAGATCTGCAGAACCAGATGGGTAGCTTTGCTCGCCAGAACACTACCAGGGCACCGGGGACTCTACTTGCCACCACTATTCCGAATCCTCGTGAGCCTCACCAGCACCAGCAGCTAGATGCCATCACTACCAGGAGTGGCAAGACCACATCTGCAGCTCCAGCCCAGCCCAGTCGAGATGAGCCACTACCTGCTTCAACACTTCCAGCTGATAATGCAAAAGTGGGGGAAGACAAAGAAACACATGCTCCCAAGCCACAGCCAGTGGTTAAGGAGCATGTACCTCAGCTTCCTTTCCCCACTCGCCTACATAAAGACAAGCTGGAGACTGAGTTTGCCAAGTTAATGGCAATGTTGAAGCAGGTCAACATCAGCATGCCGTTCGTGGAGGCACTGTCAAAGATGCCCAAGTATGCCAAGTTTATGAAGGACCTCCTCACCAACAAGAAGAAACTTGGGGATCTTTCGACAGTGATGCTGAGCGAGGAGTGTTCTGCTATTCTGCAGAACAAGCTGCCCGAGAAGCGAAAAGACCCAGGGAGTTTCACTATCCCTCTTGTTATTGGCATCATGCATGTAGGAAAGTCCTTGGCGGACCTAGGCGCTAGCATAAATGTCATGCCTTACAAATTGTTTAAGAAGCTAGGCCTAGGTGAACCTAGAGCTACTAAGATGAGCATTCAGTTAGCTGATCGTTCTATCGTGCATCCTAGGGGTATCATTGAGGATTTGCTTGTTAATGTGGGTGCATTCACATATCCTGTTGACTTTGTTATTTTGGATATAAATGAGGATGTGGATGTACCTTTAATTTTGGGTAGACCGTTTCTCGCCACCGCCAAGGCGCTTATTGATGTGCATAGTGGTAAATTGATTCTGCGTGCTGGTGATGAACAGGCTACCTTTTCTGTGTCTGAGAATGGGAAACACTCTCATTTGCATGATGACATAGATTACTGTGATGTGCTTGCTGATTTTGAGACCGCACTCGCTATAACGAGTGCGGGTACTGACGATGCTCTTGAGCGTTGTATTTTGCTAGGTGAGCAGGCATCGCAGGAGCCGCAGCTGGCGGAGCAGTTGGCCGAGTTGGAGAGTGGCCCCTTCTTGGAGGGCGACA